AAACCAATCCAAACCAATCCAATCCACAAATCCCCCACACCGCCAACCCCACGGCTTTCTTTTTGCTTACCCCCACTGAGTTTACACCAACAATGGTTTTTATTTCGATGTAGTTCGTAGTAGATCTAGCCTACCCAGACTATCTAGACCTAGACCCTCACCCTTTCTACAATAGCAAACGGGCAGTGCACACAAAAAATACACACAAATTTTCGATTCAACTTTTGAAATTGCCAAGTAAGGTAAACGAAATGAGTGACTTACACGCTGTACATATACTGATTGGTTGATTGATTGATCGCTCTGTGCTAACAAAAAAAATGATATACCTATATATATTGTGCCCAAGGTTGAGGGATCTAACCGCTGTTCAAGAGAACAATTCTCCCGCTACATGCTAACCCCAAAAACTTTTGTGTTTTCCTAACGATCTATTACCATTCTTTTCGTTAATGTGCCTAAACAGCCGCCTAAAACCCTTTCTTGTTTCTATTTTCGTTCTAATTCTGATCGCCTGATTGCACTTTGAACCAAAGATTTGATATACTATTCCGTTTTTTCTTTGCTCTTCCCCGAATCCCCCGAAAACGATGCTTAGAATTTGGCCAACAACGTTGAAAAGTCAAATTTCCGTCTCAATAACCACAATTGGCAACTATGGCAAACGAGCAGCAGCAGCCAGGGAAAGGTTCAAATGGAACGATATCTGCCCCATGAGCTGCACGATGTGTCCGAGGAGACGGCCTACGATTCGTACTACACCGAGTACACCACGCCCGATTCCATGGACTGTGGCAGTGCCAATCTCCTGGTCACCTTCGACTATGGCTACAGTGACTCCATCGAGGCCAGAGCTGATCCTGCTGCCCGGGAAGATGATCGGGGCGAAGGTGCTGATCCTGATGGTGATGGGTATGCGGATGTGGACGATGCGATTTGGTTCGGCACTCCGCCGAAGGAGCGGAAGGACGCCAAACTGTTTGAGGTGCATCATGTGCAGCACAAGCTGCTGGATGACAGCCTGCAGTCCCTGATCTCCTACGACGTTGATGATTTTGAGGAGGAGGAGCCATCGGAGCCATCAGAGCCAGATGAAGAGATCTTCTATGACAGCATTGAGTGCGTTTAGGATTCCATAGGCAGGTGGCAGTGGTGTTTGTTTAACTTAACCAACTATCATATCTAAACTAGTCCTTATTTTCAAACCCTCTTTCACATACGGTTTTGTAATTTTCAAATGAAAAAGGTTAAATATGTGTATGTAGCTGTAGTATAGTGTTATGTGACGTGTATAATGTTGATTTTAATGTATTCGGCTTAACTATCCAAGGGCCCTGCAATGAACGATTGTAATTGAAACGAATTGTGACTGAATTGGATTGATCGTAATGTTTGTTTTCCCCCGTTAACCATTCAGGGCTTTAGTCTGTACGCTTGATGGTTTCTTCGACTATTTATTAGTAACCCCTACTTTGTATGTATTATTTAGAGTGTGCATCTTTGTAAGAGTCTTAAGTTAGTTATCCTGCACCATTGCCTATTTACTCAAAACTACATTTAATTTACTCGTACTAGCCGGCTAAGTAGCTTAGTTGTTAATCAAATTTAGTTAACACATCGCATCTAATGTATGTATGTACAGTTTGATATACTACCTAATTATGTATGTATTCTATTTAAGTCGGAAGGCAAATGTAATAGGGTCTATCTATCATGTTATCACGAAACTGCGTTTACTACATTTATAAATCCAACAGACATAGAAGTGAGGGAAACCAACAATTATGATTCATATTAAAGCTAATAATAATATATATTCAAAAAAAAGGCAGCAAATGTAGACATGTATCCATTTAAACAGCAAATGTAATTGATAAACACATATAAATGAAGAAAAAACAAAAATAAAAAATATTAAAAATACATATGATGACGGGTTTTCATTCAATATTTTGGATTGTATGGGTAAGTTTAAGACTATGGTTTTTTTAACAAATCAAGCATTGAACATTCTAAAAACAATAACTATATTAAATATATATTTCTGATTAAATGTTTTCAAATCAATAAATGAGATACATAAACCGACTTTTATGTCAATCAATCAAAGTTAACGCCCAGTTTGTTGGACGGGTTTTCAATGGTCGCCAAGTGGCAGAAATTGAAGTTAATTGAAATTCAAATTTTGTAAATGCAGTGCGAATTTTCAAACCGCTTTCCTCTCTCAAATATATGCACAAATAGCCATTTTTCGAATGCCACATAATTGAATAAGAGCGTGAAAGAGTCGGAGAAAGGCAGGGTCTCTCATGTAAGCACCGCTCTCTTATGGGAGCATTCCCCAATGGAGCACTCGGTGCTCGAGACTGGGTCTCAGGCTCAACCAGTTGGCTATGTGCGCTCCGTGCCAGCAGAACATTTCCGGAACGGGTTTCGGCTGCGTTCAATAAACCCAGGCCCTCGAAAGGCATTCGGTTCGGGACTAATAAACCGATTTTAAGAACCAGCTGACGATTAACCGACTCTCCGATACCTCCATAAATGCCAGAACCCGCAGATATGTGCTTATCACAACCCTGCGAGAGCCGGTAAATTTAGGGGCCGCGAAAATCTGATACCAGCAACATGGATTTCGAGGAGATTCTGGCCAAGTGCGGCAACAGCAGTCGTTATCAGTTCGTATTGCTGGCTCTTTATGGCTACCTCATGATCGTCGTATCGATGCACTATTTCTCGCAAAACGTCATTAGTTTTGTGCCCGATCATTGGTGTTATCACGAACAGCTGGCGAATCGCAGCTTCGCCGAAATCGAGGCGATTTATTCCCAGTTCGAGAGGCCCTCTTGCACGCGACTGGAGAAGATTGATGAGGATGGGCAGAATCACACGCAGAGCACGGAGCGATGCAATCGGTGGATCTACAAGTACGACTTTGGATATAGAAGTATGAATACGGAGGTGAGTTTATTGGGTTATTTGAGGGGTGATACATTTTAAACTAATAACTGCTTTTTGTAAGATTGATTTTTAAAAATATATTATACTAGAAAATACAATAATATACTATGTACTATAGTATATTGATAAATAGAAATAGGAAAGGTTATAAGAAAGGCTTATATCTCCAAATTCGCATGTTTTAAGAAGTTTTTAATAGAGACAAGGGTTATTCTAGTTTTTATTTATTTGTTTATTAATACTAGACTAGAAATCCCAAAAAAAACAAAATTTGTTCAAAAAAGATTATGGGGTGGTTAGAATAAAACTATACATTTTATAATAGGTATAATTATAAATTTCAGCTAAACTGGGTTTGCGATGAGGCTTATAAGCCCCGTGTGGGTCAGTCCCTTTTCTTTGTGGGTTCGGTTTGTGGAACTCTAGTCTTTGGGCTTCTTGGAGATCGTATAGGACGCATTAAGGCCTTAATTTTGGCCAACTGGTGTGGTTTCCTTGGTGATTTCTCAACCATATTCGCCAATAATCTGACTTCGTTCTCGATCAGCCGTTTTGTATCTGGATTGGCGGCTGATGCCAACTCTTATCTCATGTATATACTGAGTAAGTGAATGCTGGGATATGTTTTTTATTGACTAATTATATATTTGATAAATTGGGTTAGTTCTCGAATATGTATCGCCCTCGTTGAGAAACGTGGGACTTAATACAGTTTTGGGAAGTTTCTACTGCCTTGGCCTGATCGGAGCCTCTTGGCTGGCAGTTTGGGTGGGCCACTGGCGCATTTTCCTGGCCTGTTCCTCGGTGCCCCTCTTGCTGGTTACCCTGTTCTACTTCCTCGTCCAAGAAAGTGCCCAATGGCTGGTCACACGTAATGACATCGATGGAGCTATCAGAAGACTCCAGCGCGTGGCCAAAATCAATCGCCGCCAGGTATCGGATGATGATTTTAGGACGTTTCGTAGCTACTGTGAGCAGCACTACCGCAAGGACGTCAAGGAGGATCGAAGTGAGGATAAGCTGCTGGACATGCTGAAAACGCCGCGCATGCGCAGCACGGGGTTCAAACTCCTCCTTATTTTGTAAGTTATTGAAAGGGTTTCTTTTTATTAAGAGCTCTTATGACAGTGGTCGCCAGCGAAGCATAGAGATCGGTAGAGAAAATTTGTATCCCATGGGCTGCCTGCGCTGCTTCTGCTGGCGACCGCTGTTGTATAAAGACAAATAGCCTTTTCTTCCAGTCATACATCGATTGTATCAAGTAGTTTATTTATTAACTTACATCCGCAGCATTATTATTACGCCCTGTTACAACACCATCGCTCGGAACGTAGAGGGTCTGGGCATATCGCCCTTCATCATGTTCTCCCTGAACGCCCTGACCCTTCCGCCCTCGGGATACCTACAGGGTCTGCTCCAAGATCGGATTGGACGCAAGGCCACCGCGGTCAGTTGGATGACCATAACTGGATTATTCGCCGCCGCTGCTGGTCTGGTGATATCGCAAGGAAGCAATAGGAATATACTCCTACTAGTGGGGCTAACTTTGGCTGCCAGATTTGGAGTCTCCATCGCCGATGGAGCCAGTTCGCAGTTCTCCGCCGAGCTAATCCCCACCAGCGTGCGGGGAAGGGGCGTGGCCGTGGTGCATGTGGCTGGATTTGCCGCCTCCTTCCTTTCGCCCTACATTCTCCATTTAGGAACTTACTTCAAGCCAGCTCCGTCCATCATCTTGGGGCTTCTTTTCTTATCCGGAGCTTATGTGTGTCTGCTACTGCCCGAGACTCGTAATAAGAAACTTCCCATGTCCTTGGCCGAAGGAGAGGAGTTTGGTCGTGGAGAGGGCATATTTGACTTTCTTACCAATATGCTAGGAAGGAAAACCAAAGACTCTGAAGTGGAAATGAGTTCCAAGGAGGTGGAGAAGGACACTTTGATGACTAAGCCTGCCCAGCAGTAAAATAAACAATTATTGGTTGATATGTTTGTTATATAATTCGAAGAAGAAAATTATTAAAAATAGTTTTGTAGTAAAAATATGATTTAATATCTCATGTTTTAAACTCGATCCTAATTTAAAATTCGTATAACTAAAAGCTACAAAAAGCTCTATACTTAGCATAACCCGATATGTAGCTTGCATAGTATCTGACTTCTATTGCTCTAAGCTTTATTCGTCTTGAATGAACACTGAATAGTCACATCACCGAAATCGTCTGTATAAATTAGCAGTAACATAGTTTATATTTTGAATAGTAGATTGGCGATTACAGCGATGATATGGCGGACATCAAAGTCGCTTATCAACCATAATAATTAAATCAAAACGAATAAGTTATGATCGAATCGCGGGCATTTCGTTCGGCCAGCTGAGGCCGAGACTTATCAGCGGTAAGGCGGAGAGGCCCAAGAGTCGTTTCAACTATTCAACTCCAATATCAGTTTACCGCACAGCCGCTTTCACAAAACAAAACGCTCTTAACTATTCGACGATAGAGGCGGTGGCAGAGCGGACCGATTACGGGAGCGGACTGCCAGTGGGGACTGGTACTGGTACTGGTAGTATGTGCGTGGCAGCGGAAGAGAGCGGACCGCCTAAGTCAGATACTTTTTTTGGGGTGTCGTGCATCGTCGAAGTGCATCTCCATCTCCGGACATGGCCATGGACTTTGAGGAGATACTGGGCAAGTGCGGGGATGGCCATCGCTACCAGTACATGCTTTTGGCCCTCTACGGGCTGCTCATGTTCATCGTTTCCCGGCAGTACTTCGCCCAGAGCGTCATCAGCTTTGTGCCCGATCACTGGTGCTATCACGAACAACTGGAGAATCGAAGTTATGACGATATAGCTGCAATATACGCCCCATTCCAGAGACCTTCGTGCACGCGACTCGCTTGGATCAGCGAAGATGGGAGTAATGCCACTGCCAGTGATGAGCCCTGTAATCGATGGATCTACAAATATGATTATGGTTTCCGAAGCATGAATGCCGATGTGAGTCCCTGTTCGGGCGCCACTTAAGAGTGTTTGATTTAAGAGTGTTTTTCCTGATCCCCCAGCTGAATTGGGTTTGCGATGAGGCATACAAGGCGCGAGTGGGTCAGTCCCTGTTCTTTGTGGGCTCCATGTGTGGCACCCTACTGTTTGGACTACTTGGCGACAGGATTGGAAGGATCAGGGCTGTGGTCCTGGCCAACTGGTGCGGCTTCCTGGGCGATTCGGCCACCATTTTCACCCAGAGCCTGGTCACGTTCTCAGCCAGCCGTTTTGTATCTGGCCTGGCTGCTGAGGCCAACGCCTACCTAATGTATATTCTGGGTATGTTATCATTATACAGCTCTCCAACTTATCTGATCTTAATTCTCCACCAACTCAACAGTGCTGGAGTACGTCTCGCCGAAGATGAGAAGTGTGGGCCTCAACCTGACGATGTGTGTGTGGTACTGTCTGGGCATGATTAGTGCGTCTTGGCAGGCCGTCTGGCTGGGCGAATGGCGCTCCTTTATGGCCTGGTCAGCCATGCCCCAGCTGCTGGTCACCGGCTTCTATTTTGTGGTCCAGGAGAGCGCCCAGTGGCTGGTCACGTGCCACGACATAGAGGGCGCCGAGTTGCGCCTGCGCCGGGTGGCCAAGTTCAATCGGCGCGAGGTCAGCGAGGCGGACTTCGAGCTGTTCCGGCAGCACTGCAAGTCCAAGGAGTCGGAGGCCACCAGCCAGCTGTCCATGCAGAAGCAGGCACGTCTCATCGACGCCCTCAAGCTGCCACGCCTGCGCCTCAGACTGATCTACGTGCTGGTTGTCTTGTGAGTAAATTAAGTTCTTAAGTACGTGAGAATATGTTCTAAACCAGTGGTGCAGTAGGAGCAGCGCGGGAAGTCCATCGGGTACAAATTCTTTCTGCCGCCGCTCTGCCGCCGCACAGACAGCACACACAGTACATGATTCTATGAGCAAATGGCTCATACAAACCAAACTCTAACCTGTCGTTGAATTACCTGCATTCTGTTGATAAGACTTTGTTGTATTTGTATCATTATTAAAAACTTTATATCTATGTATTTTAACTTTTCAAAATATGGCTTTGCAGAAATGTAGTCCTAAACCTTCTTAGCCTTTTTCAAAAGTAACGAATCCTTTGAGGTTTCGAATTTGATAGTTTGATTTGTAATATTAGTAATATAACCCCTCTAAAGAGGCTTATTTATAAAGTATTTATCTTCTTTCTAGCTCGATAATAACGCTCTGCTACAATACGATGTCTCGCAATGTGGAAGGCCTAACCATATCGCCATTTGTGATGTTCACTCTTTTCGCCCTGACTTTGCCACCTTCGGGCATCTTCCAGACCCAAGTCCAGAAGAATTTCGGACGCAAGTTTACCTCGGTGACCAGTATGACAGCCACTGGAGTGTTGACAGCGGCCATAGGGATTTTGCTAACCTTCTGGACACAACCGAGTGAGACGGTGATGGTGTGCCTCCTGCTGGTGTCCCGATTCGGGATCTCGGTAATCACGGGGTCCACCATGCAGATCTCCGCCGAGCTTATGCCCACCTGCGTGCGGTCCAGTGGACTGGCGGTGTCCACGTCACGGGAGCAGCTTTCTCCTTCCTCTCGCCCTACATACTCCACCTGGATACCTATTTCCGGGCAGCATCTTCCATTATTCTCTGCATGCTCCTCCTGCTGTGTGCCTGGATCTGCCTGCTCCTGCCGGAGACGAGAAACAAAAAGCTGCCCATGTCCCTGGCGGAGGGCGAGGAGTTCGGCAAGGGCGAGCGCATGTTCGACTTTCTGAGGAGCCTAGAAAAGGAAGATCATCAGGATCTCAGCGCTGGCACCAATGAGAAACTTATGGCGGAATAAGTGTACTTACTAAGTAGGTGTAACTTTGGATCTTATCAGATCTGCTACGTTTTGAAGTACAGCTTCTAACTATGTTTTTGGAAAATGCATTTACTTACATTGTTAAAATCTTTTTTAAGTTAAGTTTTGAGTGGAACATGCCTGTAAAAGCTTAAAATAATACTAAGAATTTATAATTTGTGTAATCATTAACTTTACAAAGGTTAGACAAACTTAAGACTTAAATATGTGCACTGAACAGTTAAGATCTTCTCTATCTAAAGGGCTCTATGAGCCTATACAATAAAAATAACTTAAGAATGTTTATAACAACATGATGAGCCTAAGCAAGTGGAATGTATAAAGTACAAGATAATAATACTTATAGCTGACAATAAGAATGGCAACAAAGACTGTGGTTATAACTATTAATGTTGAAGGTTTTGATAAGAAAGATTCAGGCATCATTTAATGATTTGTTTTATGTGCTATGTTATAAATGTATAAAAATAATAAAAACAAATTTTTACTAAGCAACTGTCGTTTGATTTATATCCCAATATGTACGTAGAAGAAAGTATATTCTCTACATTAGCAAATCCCCTGAGAGAGTATTTGAATGTTCATGCTGGCGAATCAGGGCTGTCGTTCTTACTTTTAACTAATCGCACTCTTGACCTTATGTATATTACACTTGAGGATGGGCGGCGCTTTGTTGTTTTGGTTTTATTAAGAGTCCATTCAACTTATTGTTTGATTCACATTTCAGAGGTCACGCCGAGCGTATATCTATGCCAGGGAAGGCTTTCCTCCCCGTGAGACGCCGGCGTTTGTTTAGATTAGAGTGAATGAGTGAATTCACTTAAATAATAAAGCGTCCGCGTTTGAGCGACCCGCCTGGCCAGCCATATAGACGATAAGGCAGCCGCCCCAAAACAATCTTATCGGGGATGTACGGAGACTCAACGCGCGAATCCGGCCACCTTGCACTCTTTTTGCCTCGGTTAGAATCGGAACGGTCTCGGTTCGGATCGGTTGGGTTTAGTCTTAATAGAATCTCAGCGAGAGCACGTCATGGATTTTGACCAGATCTTGGAGAAGTGCGGCAGTGCGGGTCGCTATCAGTATCTGATGATACTGCTGCTCGGCTACATAGCGTTCACGACCACCGTGCACTACTACTCACAGAACATAATTGGGTTTGTGCCCCAGCACTGGTGTCATCATGAGGCTCTGGCGAATCGTAGTTTCGAGGAGATTGCCGCTATATATGCCCCATTTGGCAAGGAGGCCTCCTGCACCCGGCTGGATAAGATCGAGGGGACCAGGTCACGGTGAGTAATGAGACCTGCCAGCGTTGGATATACAATTATGACTTTGGATTCAGGAGCATGAATGCGGAGGTTAAATAATATGTGGAAAATTCCGGTATCTAAAACACCTCCCTCATTTCCCAGCTGAACTGGGTGTGTAATGATGCTTATAAGGCGAGGATCGGACAATCCCTGTTCTTCCTGGGCTCCCTGATGGGCACCTTCACCTTCGGCATGTTGGGCGACAAGATCGGTCGGGTGAGAGCCGTCATCCTGGCCAATCAGTGTGGATTTGTCGGCGACTTTCTCACCACATACGCCTCCAACTTGGTGCAGTTCGCCATTTTTCGGTGCATTTCTGGTCTCGCCGCCACGGCAAATTACTATCTCATGTTTATTCTGGGTAAGCACTGCGATATCTCTGGCACTCCGGCAAGAACGGGTGTAGATCTGGGGAAAGCTTTGACAATACATATGTACAGTTCAGAGTCAACAATAGTGTCTACTCTTAGTAATTGCCAAGACTACCCATGTTACGCATCTGTTTAGATTAACCAGATGACATTAGGTTATACATGAGTGCCAGGACCATACGATATCAGATTACCTCTTTGTGAACTCATCTGTTGGTTCAACCAACTGAGTTAACCTGAAGTAATGACCGCTTTTTAAGAATACCTTACTTGCTTAAGATTCCTAAATAATATTTTTTTATTTATTTATTAACACACATTTTAATTGTCATTTTAAATGCATATTTTAGTTCTGGAATACTTGGCGCCCAAACTGAGGAACATGGCCATAAGTGGAACCCTGGGCATATGTTTCTGCCTGGGAGCTCTGGTGGCTCCCTGGCTTTCTGTTCTGGCTGGCAACTGGCGGATTTATCTGACCTGCTCGGCGCTCCTCCAACTGGTGGTGGCCCTGTTTTACTTTGTGGTTCAGGAGAGTGCCCAGTGGCTAATCACGCGGACCAATGTGGAGGGCGCCATTGCCAGGCTGAAAGCACATCGCCCACTTCAATGGAAAGGAGGTAAAGGCAGCCGACTTTGAGGCCTTCAGGCGGAGCTGCATTGTTAAGAGGAAGCTCTCGAATCAACCGGAACAAACGGCAGGAATTATCGATCTACTGCGGACCCCAAATTTACGAAAGACATCGTTGCTGATGCTAATTACTTTGTAAGTATTACAGTCAAATAATGACAGGCAAAAGGGCTTAAAAGTGTTAAAGTTGTTTGTTAAAGATACAAATTTTTTAAAATTTTTAATTTAAAAGTGATTAAAAATTTACCAAGGGATAACATTTTTAAATTTTTTAAAAAATGTAAAATATAATTTACTAATTTCTATAACGACAAGTTTGGCGACTTATAAACTACTATTCGACAGCCAAAAAATATTTCCCCTGAATTTAAAACAAACTGATATGATCTCATGGGCAATTTTTCGAAGTTTAGAATGTAAATTGGTTGTTTACTCCTTAAAAACTGTAGCCAATTAAATTTGAAGAAACTTTTTATAGGGTCTAAAAAATGCGGCATTAGCAAATTTCTAACACTTAGAACGAATATATATAGATTTGTTTTCCTAAATGCTTAATTTTGTATAGATTAAGTGGCTGTATTGGTATAGATAGTCTTTAATGAGTATTTCTTAGTTATTTTACTAATTTAATATTTGGTTTCTCTTCCTTCCTTTCATACGCAGCATGCTGACTTCACTGAGCTTTAATACCATCTCTCGAAATGTGGAGGGCCTCGGCCTTTCGCCCTTTGTGGTCTTCTCCCTGTTCGCCGTGGTCGTCCCGCCATCTGGATTCATTCAGGGACTCCTGCAGAGTCGAGTGGGCCGCAAGGCCACGGCCTTTTTGGCCATGCTCTGCACCGGATTGCTGTCCTGCGCCCTGGGCGTGGCACTCTCCACAGAGGGCGCCCAGAGCAATGTGACCTTACTGTTGGCCTTCGCCCTGCCCATGAGGCTGGGTATCTCCATGTGTTACACGGTCACCTCACAGTTCGCATCCGAGCTACTGCCCACCTGTGTGCGCTCGAGGGGAATTGCTGCAGTGCACCTGGCTGCTGCGGGGGCGTCCTTTGTGTCACCATACCTCATTCATCTGGGCACTAAGCTGGCGGCAGCTCCATCCCTCATCTTGGCCCTTCTTCTGCTTTCTGCGGCCTTTTGCACGCTCCTGCTCCCGGAAACGAACAACAGGTGAGAAATCTTTACTAAAAATAATTAATAATAATAATTTAATTAATTAATCATTTATTATCAACAATGAAATGAATGAATTTACTTTTTAATTTCATTCTTAGGTGTCTAAAAGTAGGCAACAAAATATTTTAAACTCAGTAGTACTAAGTACTCATTCAGATCGACGTCTATCCTTTATTCATTGCATACTTTTAGACACCTAAATATATACCATACTTAAAAGTGATATAAAACACCCAGTGATTTTTGTAGTTCTTATTTTTGTTTAAAAATATTTCAATTTTAAATGTTTTTTCTAAAATTAATTATCCTCAGACAACTGCCCATCACATTGGCGGATGGCGAGGCCTTTGGCAAGGGCGAATCCATGCTGTCCTTCGACTGTTGGCGCCGGCACGATGACGATGTGTCCAAGGAAGCCGTCGAGGAAGTCAAGCTGCATCAACTCAACGGACAGCAAACAAGATCCGAAACGGAAGCGGAAGTGTAGATAAAACCCAATCAAAGTATTTCCCCACAGACCTCTATACCAAAGAACCCCTTAAGGCTTTAAGGCAAAAAAAAACTAGACACGGTTGTTGCGAAAGTTGTCAATAGATGTGAAGTTTGCTTTATTTTATTGATTCACTGCTGTTCACAATTTATAACACAATTTTAACTTAGCAACTTGTATTGAGCCAATTTCTTGAGTTCATCAGCTTTTTGGGAATCGTGTGTCGTCTGTCTTTTGTATTAAGTACTTACTTGTAAGTAAAAGGGTCATAAGTATCTTGTATCTTGTAAATGGTTATGTAAACTCTTGTAATTATGTAACGCTTAAATGCCATAAACATAACGGCTACAATTTGATCGCTTCATCCTGCCATTCAATTGCCATAGAAAGTCTTACAAACTCTAGCGTACAATTGCTCGGAATCTCAACTGGGACTTCCGTTGACCATTGCGAAACTGACCAAAGGTCGGTTATCTTAAATCTAAGTGTAAAGTCTAGCGCAGACATGGCGAGAAGTGATTTAGGGCCCCCGTCGCTGGTTGCCAGATGATAACATTTTAAACTCGAAAGACTCTCGACCAACTTAATCAGCTATTCAGCGAAGGGTCTAACTTAAGAAGTAGTTCAATGTAAAATTATATAAAAGGGATCAAAAGATTGTTCTCAGGGCAGTACAGGGGATACACAATCAGTGTGTCAGCTGTGAAACAACTTAGATTAATGCTTGTAGGAAGGCAACCGCAGCGTTTTTCAGATCATCATCTAGTACTATGTATATTTGTGTAACTTATGTGTGTACTCGCTAAAAAAGTTTTCTACATTAACGCAACATGTGTACTTTTGGGGGAGGGGGCATGGCTCTTGGGCCTATATGCCCGAATGCCTAATCAAAAATATTATCCTTGGGGTTCTATATTCTATGAGCAATTCTGGCGAATGCTTACGAATAGGGTACGTACCTTATTTCTGATATCATTAATCTGTAACATTAATCTGTGTAATTGCCTGGCATCCAAGGGGACACCCAGGAAACGTCAAAAACGTTCTATAGAAATCACCTATCGATAGGGGTTCTCAATCTGTGAGAACTGGGCCTAATAACAAATATTCTCGTCGAAACGCTTAATCTACGGAATGCGAACGGAGTGCTCACCGCTTGTAAAGGGGTTATAAGTAATGTATCTCAGTAGATGTATATGTATAAAGTAGGTAGGTGTGAAGTCTGTATCGCATCCATAAACATGTATAATCAACACTAGTTCACAATAGTTCAGTTGAATCCGAAATGCACGTACACAGTAAAAAGGTAAAAAGATCTCTCATAGTTCTCTCGCGACCTGAGACTGAGTACGGATGGTACTCGAGTATCCTATATACGACTATATAGCACCATCTCAGTGAGTAAGTGGATAAGTAAAGACCGAGTGGCGATTGTTAAAACACAACCCCAACCACCCTCCTGCGATCCTAAGGTAAGTGATATACTTGATTTAGGTGGTAAGTACATAGTAAGTAGTAGAAAAATATACATGTAGTAAACATTGAAACTTTGGAGAATTTAGAGGGAATAAACTATGGCTACGGGTTGTATATATCTATATATATGTATATTGGGTGTGGGTGCGATTGGGCTCCCAACAAAATTTATGGCTAGATTAGAGAGCCAACCAACAGCAAACGCTTCAACCTTAGATTATGAACTATTTGTGGGTAGAACTAGTATCTGTGTGTATTTTGTGGTTTCCTACTTGCGCTTTTTATGCTACTAAATACCAATTACTTTTGCAATATTTGCTGCATATTGTTTGACATTTATCATATGTTGATTTAGAGAAAGTATTCTATGACCACATTCAACTCCGGCTTAATATTCACATTGATTTCCATCAATATCAACATCGTAATCAACTTCGTTTGTGGTGAGCCTTCTACCAAAGTGTGTAAATGTATGTACTATATCATGATCATCACCGAATTTCAGGCGAGTGCAATATCTGTGTGTGTTTCGAAAACATCGAGTATAAAAGACAAGCGGTATTTAGGCAACGAGTGATTCAGCAATTTTCTTTTATAAAAAACATCTTCTATAAATTTTTGTCAAGTATCATTCAACGTTAAATATTACTTTGTATTATCGGTATCTACCACTTACACCAAAAGCATTCATAAGACTCGTTTTTGTATTCTTAAAAGTGATTTCTCTGAAACAATTCATCTTATAGAGCTGCCCTACGACCTAAGGGTTATCCATACATATGCCTATGTATATAAAGTCCACAATAATCAGATTTTGGAGGGAGGTGACATCTTTGGCTGCTATGGGAATTGATTGATTCATTGATTGCTGTGGTGGGTCTCTACCCTTACAGGTAAATAAGTGGCATGAAGCTTAGCTGGATTTGCACAATGTTCACGATATGTATGATGTCAGGATAGAGATATATATGCAGTTTGCTTAGAGTCTAGGGAACAAAAGAGCGGAAAATAAACCAAAAATGTTGAATTTACAAAAATGTTATTTGTATTTTTCGGATATTATGGGTAGTTATACATAGTAAGCTTATGCCTCGATTTAACTAGGTTTTAACTTTACGTTTATATGTAGGTTTTATCGTAGTTTAGCGCATATAGTATGCCAATTGCGAATGCCTCTCAGAGGGGAGAGGTGAAAAAAAACACACACATACAAATTGTCTTAATATCTAGGCAGGCCAACCTTGGCCTCATCGTTTGTTTTGCTTTACAGTTTTGCTTTTAGTTTTTATCTGCATCGAATAGCTGAGAATTGCGCTTACAATTAGTGCCATAAACTTGATAAGGTTTGTTTTTTTTTTTGCTTAGTTTCTCATGTCTGCCTTGATTACTTTGTTTTTTATTTTTTCGTATCTGCGGTACTTGCAGCGTCATCGCCATATTCGAGTATTCAGAAATCATCATTCCACACTCTTAACACTAACTTGTGAATGTTACAATCGTTCCTTTCTTATACCGCTAGTAATGCTTCTCAGAGTCGACGTGATCGTTAATTGATAATTATCGCATAATTAATACAATACAATACAATGCAGTGGGCCATTTGGCCATTCTAACTGCGATTTTGTGGTTTGTCTCGGTTCTAAACAATAAGTTACTATATGTTGGCCTATGGCAAATTGGCTCGAATGCCATCCAAACTGGAACGCAGCACCAAGCTGCCCTCCACCCAGAAGTTCGGCCGATCCAGCATGTTCTGCCACAGGGAGAGCTCCTTGCCAGTGGCATCCATCCATTCACTTGTCTTCCATAACTGCGACCTGTTAGAATTGGAGTCTATTAGTATTTGGAATGAGAATGAGTATCTCGAACTTACCTGTTCCCAAAGAGAATCGTATGCCGCCAACAAACTCATTGCTGGCCAGACGATCATGATCCCAAACGGTGAGCTCCAAGGCGCGTTCAGACAATTCCTCCAGGGAGACATCCTCATAAACGAAAGTATAGTTCCAGCTGGGATGCAAAGTGCGCTTCACAACCGGCGTCTTTTGCTTGGAGCTCCGCGTGCGATCGGGCAATAAATAACTAGGGAATTAAAAGCAAATTAGTTAGATATATAGTTATGAAATTGAAGTTAAGAACCCACCTCTTGCAGAAGGCGTCGCAGGTTCCATTGGCCTTGATGGGACTCAGGTGCTTGGCCTCCTTGACCAGCACATGCAGCTGGCCGCCCTTGGAAGTCCGATCGATTTGGAGGTCACCGACTTGATGCTGCCTCCAAACTTGCGTAGATTTGAAGAGCTGCCTGTGATGGAGGAGCCGCGAGAAGAACGAGGATTTGATGTTCTCCGGGGGAATGTATTTAGGCCCACCACAATATCACCTCTGTAAGTGGCCACCTCGTCGAAGGGTTCACTCTAAAAAATCAGGCAAATTATTATAAGGCCTCCTTGAGAAAATGGGTTTACAAACTTACGCGTTCTTGGAGTAGATACCACTGCGATTGGGGATTGTCAAAGAGGCGACCTGCAAATTGACACTGACCTCGCCCAGGAAGTCGTTCCGTCCAAACATATCCGAGTGCCAGACGGTGAGCCACAGAGTTCTCGACTCCAGACTGGAAATGGGTGTGTGGAAACGCATCGTCTCGTCGAAGATGGGATTCAGTGTGTGCTTCTTGACTTTGGTTTTGCGCTTGCCGGCCTTCGATTTATCGGGCAGAAGATATACCTAATCAAAAGTCAAACCAGTAATTAGTTGGTTTGTCATATAATAGTAGAGTTAATAGAACCCACCTTCACATAGGGATCGCTGCGATTGCGTTTGGCATCCACGGCAGCTAGGTCTTTGCAGCGCACCACATGGACTTCCAAAGCACTCAGCTTGTAGTTGTTGCATGGCGAACTCCACTGACCCTTGACCACCACAGTGCCATAACGACCTTCTCCGGCTCCCGAATAAACGCTGGCCATGGATTCCGAACGCACCTATGATAAGAAAATAGTTGAGTTATTCAGTTTTTTATGGGATCTTCTCCAGCTTTAGGTACTTACCCCCAGCGAGCTGAGACTGCTGCGGTTCTGGTGCATGGCCACCAGCCGATCGATGTCCTCATCCGACTGGGTGGGCCACGTTTCGCTGGAGGCACGCGACTGAATGGGACTGCCAGTGCCATCTGTCTGCCTTTGGCCAATCACCGGCGATCGAGTCAGTTCCTCGGCGGCCACTTTAGCCTCCTCTGCAAAGAGAAAAGAAAATGTATCATCAATTAGCACTCGAGTTTTCCACAATTAAGGCTAATGATCTATGCGAGCTGATGATTAACGACGCAGGCAATCGATAGAAAATGTTTCTCAGTATTTTTAGCTGATGGCTCCGCTTTACACTTGTCTTTTGAACTGTAATATATACTATAACTCAAATATATTCTTGGTAGTCAACATAAACGTTTCTAGACAATATTATAAGGTTAAGATAGGAATGCAATGAGGTCATGATGTGCACAATTCAAAAGGTCACAGCGAGGCTAAGTTAAATGAAATTGAGATGTTTCATGTCTTCTTATTTTAGGTTCACAGTATACTCAAAAAGTATTCGAACTGAACTTGAAAAATTTAAGTACGATTTAAAATTTGTAATAATTTTCTTTAAAGTAATATCATTAATTCTTTTTGAGTTTAAAGAGAAAATCGCAATTCATTCAGAATTTCTAAAATCCCGGTCGATTACTTTTTTTGAGAGTAGTATACTTTTATAAGAATTGCATTTTGATGTGGGTTTTACCGAGTACTTTGAGTATAGATGTATGATATAATTGTAATTGTAATACAGTTCAAAGAAGATAATTCTATTCCATTTGAAATATAAGTGTGTTCATGGTAGTTGAAAATAAACTATTTCAAGTGCAATAAGAGTGGAGATCTGTGGAGGAGAGCAGCTTGGGGCGTCGGTGCAAGGAGCATGCAGTTGGTGGCAGGCAGACAAGACCACCACCTACCCTTGCACCGCCACCCGATCCTGCTCTGGATGCTCCTCCCGCTCAGCGTGCTCCTCCTCCTCGCCCTCCACGAAGGTAACATGCAGTGGAGTGCGACGGTGCAGGATTAGCGATGTCCTGCCCCCAGGAGCAGCTGCCGGCAAGTCCTCTTCGAGGGTCTCCAGAAACCGATCCGAGTTGGACCTCAAACTGTCGTCCCAGGTCCAAGCTCGCCTGTTAACCACAGATGGTGATCGCATTTGCGGGTGCACTAGCTTTGGTTGCTCCTGGGGAAGGGGATTGGGATTGGGGGACTCCTCAACTAGGTTCTCACTTTGCCCACTGGCCACCGCCTCGCGTTGTTTCATTTCGAGTATATAAGAAGCCACCTTCGCATCGATATCGTCATCCTCCTCCTCGGAATCAAAGTCGTATCTATTGGTTCTTCTTCTGCAGCAATAGCAAAAAAAGAGGCTTTTCCTTGGCTTGTCACCCGAACTGCTCCAATAATCCTGATAGTTCCTTGGGCGTCGCCTTCTTTTCCACCAACATTGGCCAAAAAGTCGTCGCCACTTGGATTTCCTCTGGTGTTTTTTGTCTCCCTTCTCAAATCTCTTTTTTCTCATGCGATTCAGAGCCGCATATTGAATTTTTCCAGCCGAACTGGAGGGCAGTGAGGAGGATCCCGCGGGCTGAGACTTGACTCTGCCATAGTTGTGCACTCGAGCCAGTGGAGCAGGTGCAGCCGAAGCTGGCGGGGATTTCTTGGTTGCGGAGGTGGAGGAGGAGGCAAAGGCATTATAGCTGGCGGCTTCTTTTGGCGCCGCTATTGCCGTTCGCCGTGGGCCAATTAAACGAGTCACTTGCTTCATTTTCTCGATTTCTCATTTCACAATTGCGCGTTTTGGTGGCAAGATTAATTGGTGACCGCTTTTTTTGGTGTCATCCGCAGTCGACTGCAAATGTTTAATATCACTTTTGGCTCTGCCGTTTCGCCAACCAGTTGACAGTTGTCATCTGATGGGTTTCTCAATTGCCTACACTGCGCAACACTTTGAGTCAATTAGAAAGGTCTAAGCATTTGGGGTTTTTATTGGAAGCGTTGGTGTAATCTAACTTTTAATTAAACCACTATTTTGAAAAAATACACTGGGAAAAGTTAACAATTTTTACAAAATCGTATTATTTGCTTTTATATTTTAATGCCTAAATCTTATCTTCGATAAATGATTTTATCTTTAATTTTCAAGAATTCAAACACTGATATTTTATTTCCAATGAACAAGTGGAAAGCAGTCTGATGAAGTACATCACTTGCTATCTCTAAGATATGTCTAACAACAGGCGCTTAATAAATGTTTTTTTTTCCAGGGAAAGTTGTTATTTGAAGTGATTGAAAAATGCATAAAATAATAGTGGAAAGTTTTGTCACGTTTATTATTTATTATCATTTGCCAGAATTCCACGACTCAATCAAAATAGATACCAAGTGTTTGTCTGCTTTATTGGTTCTGGTATTTCACCCGGCCGATAAAATAACTTCCACCTATTATCTCCAAGATATATTACAACAGAAACGGCTGATAATGAATTATTTTTAAGCAATGTGACATAGATTGGAGGCCCTTTGATAAGATTGCCTGGCGACACGGAATCTTTGGTTATTCGCACACGTAATTGGGGAACTTGATCGCCGGTTAAGAGCCCCTTATCTTAGATAGAGGTGCCCAGCCATAAAAAAACATTTGCATGGCCCACCGTCAGCAGTCAATTAAATTAAATTAAGTCGAAATAGCGGCCCTGAACTTGCCACAGCCTTCGGTTTTTGATGACCAAAGCGAAGGTGTGAAATCGAAGGGGATTGCCTGCTCGGCAGTAAACCCATAAAAGTGGGTCAGATTACACCCAGGGCTTTGAGCGATCCAAGTATGCAATTAAACACAGAGAAATATCCATTAAAATGGCTTAAATGTTTGCCCTCTGTGTTGGAAATTTGAATTTCTTTTATGCAGTCACGATTTGTTGACAAATATCTCATTTCGTTTTAGCTTTTTTATGGCACTTCTATAATTTCCGCTATGTTAGCATAGGGCCCAAAAAAACGTGAGCGGGAATGCCAAAAACCAAACCCCAAACAAAACAACCAGGCTACTACCAAAAACCCAAAGCGAAAACCCGGCAAACTAAAAGTCAAAGTGAGCGAAACACTTCACTTTCACTGCGAAGCGATCGGTTCGTTGGAGTTAAGATCGGAATGCGCGGGGCCTTATAGAGCACATCGTTCCGGCGGAGCTCCAGTCCCGTTACGCGGTTCGAGGCAACTGATCCGGAGACCGGAGTCAGTGCCAGAACCCCAGAACAGAACATGATGGTCAGGGCGAGAGCAAATCTAAGTTTTATTCAATTATTCAAATATTGAACTGTGGGTCGCGAGGGGCGCCTAGCCAATGAAATTGCAATTAACATGAGCGAGGGAAAAACAATCTCCAAAAGAGGGTTGCTCTTGGAGAAATAGTGATGACCAGTATTGGTCGAAAAAATAGTTTAACTGAAACAAAATGGAATTACTTTTACTCCAGTTTTTTATGAAGTTATTGATACGAAATTTGAACTGTGTCATTTAAGAGGATTTAGCTGTGCTTTGTTTCTTAGTTTTGAGTGGAAAGCTCTATTTATGTGGTTAAACTAACTACTTTGACCAAAAATGTTTGTCATTGTATAATTTATAACCTTTTGTTGAAATACTTTCGATGTAGTTTTAAGTTTAAGTTTAAGTTTTTAAGTGTTCATGAAATATAGAAATAGACTTCTTTAACTAACCATTTAAGAAACTACATATGTCTTTGTGATAAGTAATAAACTTTTGTTTGTACTTTCATAAAATTCTAAAACCATACTGATGATAGATTAGCATTACAAAAAATTTGTTAAGTGTTCCTTAAACGATGTCTTTCTGACCATAAAAATTAATACTTTCTTAGGATAGAAAACAGCTACTGATGATAGATAAGTGGCTGTAAATATAGGTTTAACATGATGGGCTACTTCAGAGACTTGAGAACTGAATGTATAAGATGAATCTTATGCTAATTTCTATCTAAGTTCATGCCCCAAGAACCACAGATCTCTCCTCGCCAACCCATCGAGATTTGCAGTTGGAGAGAGTAAAGATATATATACAGACATTCCGTCTCGCATTTCTGGGTATTCTGTCTCGGCTGTCGCGGGCAGAAAGGTTAATTTAATTAGGGGTCCAAACCGAACTCAGATCTTTAAAAGCCGGGTAATGGGTGTCGCTTACAGGGTGATCTTCCGCTTGGAAGACCGACTTGCAGTCGAAGATTCCGTCATGCGGCTGTGATAATTGCAAGTCGGTCGATTTGCATAATTGTGGAAATCACTTGCAGTGCAATATTATTGTTGCATGCAGCGGCCCCCGCTGGCAACTTGGGTTTTGTTTTGGTGCAAAACACTTAAACGGCTGCCGGATGGGCACGGACATCGTGGAAAATGGACGTGGACGTGGAGCATGGAGCTCGGAGCACGGACCACTTCCGCACTCCGGCGGTGCAGCGATGCGATGCACGAAACTAGATGGGGAAAATGTACAATTCCCCTGGCAATGTCAACTCTTTTGTGGGCTCGAAAACATTAATTGTTGTATGCAAAATGAAATAAATGAAATAAATACAGGAAATAAGCTGGCAAAGCTCTTTATCAACGTCAAGAGCTTAAATACCGAATGGGCGTACAAACATACAGAAGTTCAATACTTTGAAAAGAGTTTTGGGGAGCAGCGGGGCACCCATTTAATTGTGTTTTGGCCAAGACAAACGAGTTGGTTGAACTGGAAATAGAAACTGTGTAAACACAACTGTTTTAGAGATGGCAACGTGAAAAAGTTGACAGGCAACCTTGGTGGTCCATTGACCAAAATTCAATTCGAATCATGATGAGTTCATTTACGAGTGTTTCTTTAAACATTTTCTGTGTTTAAAAGCTTTATGCTTAAGCAATGAAAGTTTTATTAAAATTTAATTCGTATTTTCCATGGTTTATCTGGGGGCCTATGAAAGCGTAATGGCTTATCGGTTTAATGTGCCGGAACGCTATAAAGTAACTGAATTTTCAAAAGAAAATATAAAAGGCATTACGCCGAAATGCATTTTAATACGATTTCTCTTTTAATGATTAATATTTTTTATCGATAAAAGAAAATTAATGATTACTGTTCCATTTTTGATTAGTTCCTATTAACTGTATTCGAGGTTTCTTTTAATAATTGTTATAAAAACTATCTGTAGGATTTTAACAGCCTATAAATATTTTGAAATATTTTAAATTAATATACATATGTGGTTATCCAAATTTTATCCATGTATGTATAATACCATATCTATAGTATTTCCTTCCCCAATAAATATTTTTGATATAATATAAATTTTTAATGTAGATATATCTATCAAACTGTACTTCATTTTTAACCACATTAAGGAGTGCCCTTTTTTAGATTGGTTACCAGTTTTAGCCTATTCCAACCATCCCTCATCCCCATCCCACATCTCTAGGTGACACAGCAAAGTTCAAAGCCCGCCTGCACCCAGGTTTTCGAGTAGCGAGTTCGAGTTTCATTGACCAAGCGGAATATAATTGTTGGTCGCAAAAGCGAAAACGGCTTTTGGGCCAACAAAAAATAGACGGAGAACAGCCAAAACTACCGCATACGCCCCCGCCAAGCGGAACAGAGCCACATCCACATGTCATATTCCACACATCCAAAACTACACACTTCTATAGCCAGATACATCTGGAGCCACATTAACACACTAACTGAGGCAACTGTGCGAAAATCGCTTTAGACGCTAACTGGAAACCCAGTCGCAGTTGGCTATGAGTGGAGCGCTCAATATGGATACAGTTAATTGACCTTGATTGAGTTTATTTCGGGGGAAGCAGCTGTCTGCGGAACCGAATGTCTCCATCTGAGTTGGTGTGAGTGTGTATCTATGAGTGGGCTTCCCAGCAACATCAACATCATCATTATCTTGGAAGGCTGAACTGGGGGGAAGTGGCACATTCCCAGGATTTCTGCCCCAGCCTAATCAGCATAAAATAGTTCAGGGTGCGGCGTCTCCCTTCTGCCAACTTTCGATACCCATTATGAGGTACTTATGGAGAATTCATTCTGGGAAGTGGGTGTTTCAACAGGTTATGCTTTTCGAGTATGGAAAATGTAAATATAAGATTTAGCAAAATCTAAATGTTCTTTATTCTAGTCGATAAAGAAAATATCATTTTAAGGATTGTAATTTTTTGATCTATGAAATTTTCACTAGATACTTACAAAATGAAATCTAAATCCACTTTACTGATATGAATTTTCCTATCAAAATGTGAATTTTAAACTATATGTTCTTCTGCATTATAACCCACTTTCCAACTATATATTCCTGTAAAGTTTATTTCCCCGTGTAGACCTCGCCTTGAGGCCATCTGTCTCCCACTCGTCTAAGGATCAGATTGCCCTAGGACTTTTTTGAACTCCTGCCACTTGGCGTGAGGAATTTTTCATTAGGAAGGAAGCAATTTCATGGCCAGTTATTTGAGCCCGCCGGCTGACGCCTATGTGCGTGTCCCGGGAACTGGGAACGCACCACCCCTTCCATCTGATACCATCACAAGGTGTGGCCACCATCCCCTAACCGGTATGCAAAAGGTAAACAAAGGGAAAACTCACCCGCTGACATGTTGAGACGTTTGCGCGCATCGCGTTTGGAGTAGAGGAACTGGAAGCCCGCGCCTAGTTTCTTGGAGCCCGTGGAACCACTGTTGGCTCCCACTCCACTGCCAGAAGCTCCTCCCGCTCCACTGACAGCCGCCGCTCGAGCCGCCAATCCTGGCGAGCGGTACCTTGCGCTCTTGGCACTGCCAGTGGCCGAAACGGTGGACAAGTTGGAGGGTGTGTGATTCAAGGCGCTCTGTGACTTTGTCTTGGGCGTGCTGGTGATGGGTGCACCCACTCCGGTGGTGGGCAGCCTGGGCAGCGAGTTTGTACTGGCCACCACCTGGCCGGAGTTGAGACTCCGTGGCAAAGTGGATCTGGCACCGCCAAACTGATTTGAGGCCGCCTCATCGCTGGAATCCGTCTCGTAGATGGCATCCGGCACGCTGGAACGCCGCACATCCTTTGTGGAATCCCCACCCAGGGAGGAGCCCGCCGAGGAGAGCCACGGCTTGGCCGGCGACGCCTCCAACTGGTGATGGTGGCATCGCCGCCGCGATGCTGCCGCAGGAGCGGACGCGATCCAACTGCTCGCGGCTGAGGCTCACCTGGTGCTGGCTGAAGAGGAGGTCGCCTGCAGATCGGCGCTTTGCCACAGCCAAAGCGGACGCAGACGACGAGTTATCCCTGTCCAGTTGGCTCAGCTGGCTGAGCCTCGTTCTGCTGTCGCCATTAGCCAGTAATGCCGACTCAAACTGCCGCGCCACGAGAACCGCTCGTAGTCACTGGCCACTCCACACTCCTCGCTGGCGGTTTCCGAGTGTCCGGGTATGCCGGAGGATCCTCCTCCAGATCCTGCCTCCTCCTCCTCCCACTCCCGTTGCTCCACTGATCCCCGGATGATGCACGGTTGCCTGGTGCAGATGCATGTGCGAATGGGGTGTGCTTCCATCTAGCAAAAGATCATGTGATCTGCTGCGCAGCTTGAGCTGCTTGATGGGCATGGCCCTCAGCTGCTCCTCCACTCGTCCTCATCCTCCGTCGTGGTGGCCGAGATCTTGGCCTGCAGTCTTCGATGGTGCCGCTGTCCCTGCGGCGATGGTGTGGGCGTCTCGTTCCCGCTGCTCACCTCGTGCATCAGAGCCACAAGCCGGGTGCCGATGTGCTGCATTACCTTGGCAAAAAGTTGAGGGGATCTTTCCGTGGACGGCTCCGCCTCCTCTTCCACCTCCTGTGCAGCTTCTATCTCGGGTTCTCCACCCGCGGCTACCTGCTAAAGGAAGCACCAGTTTCTGGTACACCAAGGCCTCCATGGGCACACTTTGGCTCTCGTCTAAGAGGCCACCATCTCCGCGATCGCCCTCCTCGTCGATCTCAAACTTGTTGATGATCTGCTGGCAGCTGGCCGAGATCTGGGCCTTCAGCTGGCCCTTCCTTTCGCCGCCCTCCAGATCAGAGCTCGTGTAGTCCGAGGAGTCGTAGGAATCGGACCACGTGTCCTCGCTGCTCAGGTACTCCACAATTTCGCGCACCTGCTCATCATTTATGCCCGGCACTGTCTTCATCAGTCGGGTCAGCTCGTTTTCGAAGTAGGCCAACTGAGCTGGTCGGGATTTGGCCAATCTGCGCTGGGAACTAGGCGTGGTGCTCTGGACTTGACCCTGATTGGGAGTGGTGGGCTTGCTCTGCTGTGCATTGGCGGTGGCCACAAATCAAAGTCTTGAAGAACTGTCTCATCTTGCTCATCATGAGGTTAGTCTCCTCATCGGAACTCCAGTTGTTGAAACTATCTTTTCTTACCAGATTGGGCAGTGTTAGGTTCCTCAGTTGGCTGGTAAGGGGAGTGGCAGCCGCAGCTGCTGCCGAAGTGCTGGGCAGATCCATCTTGGCCAGACTGATCTGGCTATGAGCCGGCTCCCCGATCCTCGCTGATCTGCTCTAGAGCCGGAGTTGGACTCTTGGGTGGCTCACAATCTGGGGCCGCCTTCAGCAGATCATCGTGCTGCCACGAAGCCACTATCCCGACTGTGGTGGTGCTGTTGCTGTTGCTTCTTGGCCTGGATTGCATCTGCACCTGGCTACCACCACTACCACCTGGAGTGGGTGTTCGGCACTCGGAGGGCTCCAGATCGTGCAGCTTCTTCTCGTCCAGGGAGTCGTGGCGCTTGCGCAGTTGCTTCTTGCGCTTGATGGTGTCCGAGGAGGAGCCATCCGAGGCTCCGCGTTGGCCAGGGATCACAGTGTCGTCACAGCCCGCCTCCGATTCGGAGTGTCCTCCACAGTGGCGGCAGCTGATCCTCCTGCGGATGTAACAGTGGCATCCAGGGTATCCGTTTCCGGCAGCAGGAGATTGTCCAGGGAGGAATTGTGACTCCTGGGAGTTCCCCTGGCCTCACCAGTCGCTTCCTTCGCTGGCTGGGACTGGGATGACCTTCACTATCGCTGCCCACACTGCCTCCACTCTCATCGCTTTCCGCCTGCTTGTCGAGCTATTGAAACCCATGAAGCCGGAGAGGAAGTACTTTTCCAGACGGGAAGAGGCCAGATCGGAGGCTCCACTGGTGTCCAATAGCTGATCCTGCGGCAGGGAGTCCAGACTCTCGGAGCACTCGGAACTCACCTCGGAGGCTGTGTCATCCCCGCGGTATCGATGGAACTCATCACCCGGCCATCGCCCAGGCCAAAGAAGAAGTACTTCTCCAGTTCGGAGGCACTCAGGCGGTGGTGGTGCTGCAGGGTGCGCTGCCTCCTTCTCTCGGCAAGATCCTCATCCTCCAGCTCGGCATCTTCGTTGTCCGCCCGCATGGAGGCCACCTCGCTCTCCTCGCAGCTCTCCTCCACTATAGTGTGCAGGGTGAAGTCAATGGCGGATCTGTTATAGCCCCTTAGCTCCTCCTCCCTGTCCAGATAGCCATGTCGCCTGGCTCCTCCCTCACTCTCGCCCTCCGCATCCTCCGAATCCGTGGCCGTGGGCGTGGTGGTGGCAAGCTCTTCGTCCTCATCTTCACCCCGCTGACTCAGTTCCTCCACCCAGGAGTCATCATCCGCCAGGCCATCCTCCACACTGATCTCCGGCACCGCGGGCGCATCGTTTAGCGAGTCCACACTGTACGATTCGCGATCGCTGCTCACGAGTTCCAAGGCGCGAAATGAGTCACCAGCAAAGTTCTGGCCAAAAGAGTTGCTGCTGGTGGGGCCTTTGTTGCTGGTGTTGCTGTGGTGTATGTTGCTGCTGTTACTGCTGCTGCTGTTTGCCATTTCGTAATCGCCAGCTGCACTTTCATTGTCTTTGGTGATCATGACCAAACTGCGATACTTGGCGGAAAGTGAATTTTTGGGCGAAGCCAGTTCGCTGGGCAATGTTGCAGGTGTGTCAGGTGTTGTTGCTGCTGCTGCTGTTGCTGCTGCTCCAACTGATGATGCTGTTGCACTTGAGATATTTTGCTGATGGCTACCGAATATCTTGTCGTAGTCACACTCGTTTTCACCACTCACATTTGAATTCACACTCACTACGTCACTCGAACCGCTATTCCACGTCTTTTTTTGTGCTGCGAAAGCGTCATTATTATTATGGCCAAGTTCGCTGTTGTTGTTACTGGTGTTTTCTTTATAGCTATTATCGTTGTTGTTCGTGGTATTGTTGTTGCCGCCTTGGAGCGCCGAGCGTGGAGCAACCGCAACGTTTAACATTTCATTTTCGACTGGCGACTCCAGAGACTCCGGTTTCGCTTCAAACCGATGATATTGCCGCTGCTCGCGAGCGACTTTGCAGGTAGCAATTCCAGAATGCTCTCTTCTACCTGCTCAGGTGGGCAGCCCAAACTCGCCGGAGTTGCCGAGAGTGAATCCAGCGAGTAGTCACTGTTGTTGTCGTTTATTTTGCATGCTTGACTGCATGTGCCGACCCTCTGTTCAGTGTGCTCGGTTTGCTCAGCTGTTCTGCCACTCTGCTCATCGCTATTTGCCTTTGCCTCTGCTTTTTCGTTTACCTGCTCTGGCCAGCAGGTGAGACCCAGCTCATTAGAGGGGCTTTTCCGAGAAGGGCTGCACTCGTCGGGTTTCCCTGGACTACCTGCGTGGGTGGCAGCCACATGAGTGCCATTTCCATCGCACTTTATCACCTTGGACAGCTGCAGATCCTCATTGATTTCGGCCACTCCCTGGCGCAAACGCTGCAGCTTCATCTCCAGTGGGAATTCTGCTTGTGCAGCTCCAGCAATCGGTTGACATCGTTCGAGATGCTATGCAGCTCATCGCAGGCGGCCAGGGCATCGCTAGAATCCATCACCTGGCTGTGGCAGCGCTCTAATTGCTGATGATCCCCCTCGTCTGGCAGCGATCGCATGTGCTGCAGCACCACGCCGGCGGAGGCGTCATCCGTCTGCCCGCCCACCACTACAATGCAGTTGGCCAGCTCATCGCTTGAGTTGGCAACACGGCGTTCACTTTCATCATCATCCTCCTCCTCATCGTCACTCGATTGGCAATCACGTGCAGCCGGCGCATCCACCTCCTCCTCCGCTTTCTTGGCCTCCTCCTCTAGCGGTTTCACATAGTTCAATACAATCCCACAATCCGTGCGCTCGGTATCCGTATCATTGTCGGATGAGTCTTCTAAATTGGCCTCGGAGGAGGACAGTGAATCACCCTCGGTGAGGAACTGCGTCTCACCCGGCGCCAGGCTGTCGATTCACTATGAACACCTTGTTGAACTCCTCCTCTTGGGCCGGCGATCGCACTGTGCCCGTGTCATCCGAGTCACAGGATTCGGAGCTGGAACTGGAATTGAGCTGGAGCTACTGGAGCTGGAGTTGCTGGTGGTGCTGTGGTGGCGCTGCTCTTCGGAAGAACACTGGATCTTGCTGCTCCTCCATATTTCCGCCACATTGTAGCTTCTCTGGGTGGTCTTACGTGGTTTAGGTTGCTCCTGCTGATCCGATCCGATTCTCCTCCCGATCTCCCTCCTCCTGACTGCTATTGCTGCTGGCCTCATCTGGACTGCTGGCCGCATAGCTCTCGCTCTGCAGATGGGCAGTAACCGAAACCGAAGGCGATGCCGATGCCTCATCGGACATTTGATGTGCTCTATAAGTCGATTGGAGGACAAATTCTTGGCAATCTCCGCCGCCGCCAACCGCTGATCTATGTGCTCGGGGTGCTGGGCTCTGGGTTTGGGATTGGTATTGGGATTCGGACAGCCACTTTTAGCCACATTTCCAACAGCATTTTCGACTGCAAGTCCGCCGAAACGAGTTATTACCGCAGGAGCCGCAGCTCTAGTTGCTGTTTGTGTTTGTGTTGCTGTTGTTGTTGTTGCTGCTGCTGCTGCTGCTGCTGTTGGTACTTGATTTTTATGTATATTCGTTTCCACTTCTTCGTGGCTGTTTTTACTGGCCAGGTAGGTTTGTGTTGTTGCCCCTGGCTGGGTTTCGCATAGATTTCGGCTCTGGTATTTGCTGGCCACTCTCAGAGCGATTCCCTTTGTGGATGTCGCCGTGTTGCTGTTGATATTGCTGCTGCTGCCGCTGCTGCTGCTGATGGGCTCTTATCTACACTGGCAACATGTGCCTGAACGGCGGGCACTGGCAATGTGCCGGTTTTATCATAAACATTACACAATCTACCCGTTGTGGGCGTTGCGTTGTTGTTGTTGTTGCTGTTAATCTTGGTGTTGCTGCTGCTGCTCTTGGTGTTGCTGTCGTCGCTCTCGCTGTTGTTGCTGCTGCTGCTGCCGCGACGCGCGTTGCTCGTTTCTGGTTGCTCACCCGTCGGCGAACGCGACGCTACTAAACTTGTTGGCTTTGGCTTGAAAGCATTGCTGGCCATTTGTTGCTGCTGCTGCTGCTGTTGTTGGTATTGCTGTTGCTGTTGCTGCTGTTGTTGCTGCATCGAGTTGGCAGCTCGCTTGGGACTGACCAGCGTTTCCAGACTCCGTCCCGCAGTGCCATAGCCCGAGGTACTGGACGAGGAGGAGGAGGATATGGTCGAGCAGAGGGACTGCGTCATCAGCGATCCCAGCGAGGCACTCAGTCTGGGGCCGAGGACTTAAATCCACCCAGGCCCAATCCTCTCAAGCGTTGCGGCATCATGGGCGGCGGCGTGGTGGGCAGTTGTTGGTAACTCTTACTGGTCACCGGCGGCGTTGCATCAAACATGTTGCTGCTGGCCGCTGCAAATTGCTGCGAGTAGGCTGCAACTATGGCGGCAAATTGCTGCTGGTGACCGGCTGCCTTCCACAATTGCTGCAGACTGGCGGCCAGCTGCTCGTCCTGTTCCAGGAGGGGATTACCGGTGCATCGGGCCAATTGGGATAGGCGGCCATGGGCACAGGAATGGGCACGGGCACAGGGATGGGCACATACTGCGGTTGCTGCTGCTGTTGCTGGTTGGGATTGCAGCTGCATCGGTTGTGGCTATGGTGGTGGTGATTCTTCAGGAAACGCGTCTTAATTCCGGGTCTTCATGCTCAGTGGATGGGGAGGAGGTGGCACTGGTGGTGGTCTGATCGGAGCTGGTCTGGGAACTACTCTCGGTGTTCAGGACAAACTCCTCATCGGTTCCCGTGTCACTCTCCCTGATCCTGGGGCAATAGGTGCTCCTCAGTGGCTGGGTGCGTCTCTGGAGTAGCGGAGAATCACTATCGCTGGACTGACGCCTCACACGCGGCGGCGGAGTGGGCGTGGCACGGGCTGTGCTATAAGCAATCATTGTAGTTGTTGTCGTTGTGGTGGTGGAGATCATGGAGGGCTCAAAGTAATCCCAATCAATCCTCCACATTGCTCACATGCTGTGACAGTGGTGCGTGGAGCAGGATGAATCCGTGTCATCCTCCTCCTCTTCCTCTTCTTCTTCGCCGTGACAGGAGGACGATGAATCCGAGTTGAGGAAGACTAACTTGAACTCGTCGGCTTCAACGCTATACTGCGACTGCTGCTGCTGGCGTCCGTGTTGAGTGGAACACCTGAAGTCCAGCTCCGATGACGATGACGTTTCCATGGCATCGCCCCCTCCTAATCCACCGGTATCACCGGAAACCACCGACAGCTGCTGCTGCTGCACGCCTGTGAAGTAGCCGGGGATGAAGTTTCGGGCAAATAAGTTCGGAGACAACCACTTTGACGTTGACCAACACCACGAAAAGGTACGCAAATACCGGTTATTAAAAAACACACACAGGTGAAATACTGGTTAGCCGAGGAGGGTGAGTTTTTCCACACCAAAGTTATGGGTTGCAGATGGGTTAGTTTGGGCACAAGTACGGGTGGTTGTTTAACTTATAGCTAGCATGGGTTAAGCTTCACCGAAAACCGAATATTAATAGATACCAAAGGTTATACACACACAAAAGCAGGCAGTTGGAAGGAGTGTTAGTCATTTTATCTAGCCCAATTTATAGATTGTTATCTAGACTGTGAATGTTTCTAGGGCCCATACACACCTTGTACTGAAATCGAATGTGATTTCACTAATATAATCAATTTAATTGATATCCAGTACTAAGCAGGTACATTCCCATAAAATAGAGTATTAATTTCTGTTTATAAGTAAGTATTGGCTTGTCAAAAAAGTTGTAATCTAATAGTAAACATATATCTTCCGTTTAAAGTCTGAAATTCTATTGCTTATTGAATGATAAACAAATGTATTTTATTTGTTTCAATGACTAATACAATACCAATACAATATTGCCATGCAATAAACCTTTCGTTTTCTGGAACAGGAAATCTAATAGCATATCATGTCAACATTATGGAAAATTCAAACCAAGATCAAAACAGCACAGCCAGAACCAAAAAAAAACTTAAGTGGTTTCCAAAAAGAAAAGCCACAACCTCGAGGAAATGAAAGCATGTTATACTTTTGAGCTACTCACTTCATCCTGACCAAAATTAAACATTCCCAAAATCATTTCCCCTGCCGTTCAAGTACCATCTTGACAGGAAGCAGTTCAAAGACTCTTGATTGATTATGATTGTTTGCCACAAGCTTTTCTTGGCAGGACGAGGACTAGCAAAAATTTGCCAAAAAGCTTTTAAAGTTACCAGCATCGTCATATCCTACTCCTTCACGCCCCCTCCCCATGGAGTATGTCAAACCCCGCCCCTTTCGCTTGGATGGGTGCACAAACAAAAACTGCAATAGCGGATGCACATAGCGTCAATCCCTGGCAGCCAGAAAGTAAACATTTGATCGGGGCCCTCCTGCACCAGGCACCAAACACACTTCCTTTTTATCCGTTTTCAACACTGAGAGAAATTTAGAAGTCTATCTCTTATATACAGTGGATCTTTTGTAGATTTCTGATGATATTATTGTTATATACAATTTTTGTGTTAATGGTATTGAATGTATGTATTAAATAAATATGTTCATACAAAAATTAAATAAATATGTTCATACATGTTTACAGAAGGCCATTACTTTTTAAACAAATCCAGTCAGTAAGGGCCGATTTCTCAATGTCATGTTAAGGTTATAGTTTGTTAACTGTCGCAGAATGCTAGCATGATGTTAAATTCTTCGGACAGACAAATGTGATGATAATTTTTGAACGACTAATCCTTTCAAGACTTGATAAAGAATAACTTTTTATTGTCAGTTTCGTTTTATTGACCAATAAGTTTAACCAGAACTTAACCTCTACTTAAAAGTTTTCAGTTAAAACCTAACTTGATGTGAGAAATTGAATTTAACTCAATGACAAGAGTTATTACGACTTTAAAAAATAAGGCCTTGGTGGAAAAACAGCCATATATGACCATAATATAAATCATTAATAAAGAACCTTAAATGATTTAAACATTTTCCTTTGTGTACTCAAAAATCGTTCCCTGACAGCGAACAGCGAACAATTTTGGGCGTTCACAGAGCCGTACCCACATCCACATCGGAGCACAAAAGGTGCAGGAGATAAGATTAACGCAACAGTTTCGGCAGTCCAAACATTCCAGTGGGTGGCGTCGGGGCTTTGGTTTGTCCGTGGGACCCGGATTGTGGAATCCTTCGAGGCGACAGCCCACCGCATCTCGAATCCGCACGTAGACACACGCTGCGTTGGTGGTCACAGAACCAGACGCCCACAAAAATCGCCAAATTGAAACATAACAAAAGCCGGCAAAGGCGTTCGGCGGTCCTTGTGCCCCTTCTGCCCCCCGGGAAAATCCTCTGAAAACTCTTGATGCTTGGGAAAAAAAATGCGTGTGGGCGGGAAATCGATTTATGAGTTGCCAAAAAATTATCCCGCCAGCCCACGGCAAGGTTTTTGTATTTTGTTTCGGTCCCGTTCCCGAAAATCTTTTGAACCGCGCCAACTTTGCTCTTAAATTCGGTTCGTCGGTCGTTTGTGGTCATGTCGCCAATAGCTTCGGGGGAAATTTAATTCAAATGGAGAAAGGAAAGTCTGCTGTGAAAAAGGCGAAAATTGATGGAATACTTTTAGGAACTCGCCCTAAGAAGTGAGCGAGAAAAAGTGTTGCATTCTTTTGGGATTCGCCTTTGAAAAGCCAATGACCAAAGAATGTGTGGGGGAAAGATTTCCCCAAGGTCACTCCAAAACAGACTGGAAACTGCTCTAATTGCCAAGTTCTTTGACTTTATTATTTTTTATGGTTGCTTTTTATAATAAAAGTTGAGAATAAACTTTAAGTTGGGAATAAACTACTCTTGAACACCTTTTTCTGCTATGCCATATATACTCAAAAAATTAGTTGTGCTGTTTGAAACGGATTTAAATCATAAGCTTCAAAGAACAATATTTAAGATTTTCACAAATATATATTTATATTAAAGTTTTGATCTGTTTCATTTAGAAAATGTTATTTTTGTTTTACTGTAGGTTTTTATAAATCTTGCTTTAGCTAAACTATATTATCTATAAACGGAATCTTGATTAATTCTATAAATTGTTACAAGTTTACTTTCCTAAAGGAAGGGAGAATTCTGGTTAAACAGGCGTGGCTTGACAATGACAAGCAAAGGAGCGCCCACCTTCAGTCCCAGAAGGAGCTTAATTAATTGAGCGAAATTAGACGGAAGACGGCGAAGCCCTTCACAAAGAGTTTGTTATTGGCCCAGGCCATCCCCACCCACTACCCACCAACCATCATCAGCATCAGCATCAGAAGTAGCATCAGTACGGGCATTAGCATTACCATCACCAAGTTAATTACGCTCCCAAACATACACTTAGCTACACAGATACAACTACAGAGTGTGCACTGAGAAAAAGCCACGAAATTAAGATCAAGAATAAAATATCAATTGATTTTCTTGCAAATATAAATAGTTGTAATAGTAATTTCTAACTAATGAAGCTATCTGTCACATTGGGACAAGTAATGTTGAGTACATGCAATAATTGAAAACATCCTATGGGCGTTATTGCACTTTTTCGAATGTAATAAGGCCCATGTGACTTATTTTACTGGGTGTTATTGCATGTACCCGGTAATATAATCTTAATTTTAATTTTCTGAGTTTTAAGTTAAGGACTCTGACTGAATGAAGGGGTCTCCTCTAATTCTAGATTATTTTATTTTTGACTCTTTCGTAGATCTTTCTCTCAGTGCTTTAGATGGGGACAGCTATTAGCACTAACCTTCTTCGGCGGCCTTCTCCTTCTCCTTGCGACGCTGCAGCACGACCTTCTTGAAGACAACCGCGGCGGCCTCCACTGCATTCTGCAGCTCCTGTTCGCCCAAAGTGCTGGTGTGGGTGGCCTCCTAATGGGAATATAAAAAAAGTTTTACCCTTTAAGCCTACTTGTCTCCGGGCCTTTTATGTTCCACTCACCGCCGAGCTGTTTGGATCGCCCTGTTGCTGTTGCTGCTCCTTGTTGGCCGAGGACTCGAGGGATTTGCCGTTGACCGGCTGCTCCGCTCCAGATCCTTGGCCCTGGAATCCCCCTGGGGATTCGGCGGATTCTGATTCTCCTCCTGACCGGCGGCGACTGAGGCTACTGAGGCGACAGGAATTTCTGTTTTTTTCAGTCGCATGGCTAAATCAGAGTTTCTATGCATAAGCTGTTGATGGAAGGAGTAAATGTGCTGGGGCGTGCTACCTGTGGGGCGTTAACGGGAAGGGGTGCAAAGCGTTCATCAATCGGGTGCCGGAACAAGCGCAGCTACTCAAGGTTCTACCAGGGACCGCAAGAATTCATTAATCAATCAATTAACTAATTGGCCGTAAATACAGAGTTACTTATGCGCAGGCAGACACTACTTTGGGCAGCTAAGGATGGGGCAACTATTTCTTTATAAAAATGGTTTTTGGGTTTATTATTTTTGCATTAAATTTTGACTGTCATTTTACTCATAATTGAAACCTATTATCATTACTTTATTGTAAATGGTTTGATGTAGCATGATAACGATAAATAGCTTTTCTATAGTCATGATTATAAAGCGATTTTTTGAAAGAGTATATTATTGATATCTTGGACTTTATTATGTTTTACTTATTTAAACGTAATAATTTTCATTGTCGTTTTTATAGAAATATAACAAATACAGAAATAAAGCAATATATTTACCAAGAAAATCAAATATAATAACTTTAATCAGTCGAAGCTAGTTTGAGTTATTATTAGTTGTGGGAGTTTTTGATTATTATTTGTTTTTGCTAGCAATACGTGTGCAATTTATATATACTACGTAATATATACTAACTACATTTGATTATTTTTTGTTTGTAAAGTATGTATATTAATATGTCTATTTAAATAATGATCGAGTATGTTATGAATCAAAACTGGTGAAGATTGGTGAATATAAATGATGGGTGCTTGATAACAAACTGGTAATAATTGCGGTCCCTGGGTTCTACGGATGCGTGGGCGCAGAATGCAACCATAGCTACTATCAAAACTGAAGTATCTCGGTACTTACCTTCCTCTGCCTCCCCGATTACCCGTGCGACTGTTGCGGCGTCTCGCCTGGGGAATCTTGGAGGTGCCCCTCGTTTTGTCCAGGATATCAGCCAAGGGTCGTGGGCTGGGTATCTTAGATATCTCAGTTTTCTTCGTGGGCTGTTTAAAAAAATAGACATTCATAATAAGATGTATGCTTTATGATACTTAGATTTATTCTAAAAATTCAAGAGTCATCCCACCTGTGTGTCCTTTTCGGGATGCGAGAAGGATCGTCGTGTGACCGGTTTGGAGTGGTCTTAGCTCCCGAATCCTCTGAAACAGAGCGCATCTGCTCGGGCTTTCTTCTCTCGGCGGCGTGACTATCGGAGGCACCTCCACTGCTGGAGGCACCTTCGTTGCCGGATCCCTTGCCACTGGCATCCGAGACCTGTGAGAGCTGGGCCAGTTCCTCCTGCTGCATCTGCAGCTCCCTGGACTGCCGCCGCCTGAGGCGATTGTGCATGAGGGAGTGCGTGGCAGAGCTGCTCCTCCATAGAAGCCCTGTGGAGTGCCCATATCGGGATAGTAGGTGGGCACACCACCCGAACCGCCACTGACTCCCAGACCCACGCCAGCACCTCCTCCATAACCCGAATCGGCCAGCACATTCTCGGCACTGTAGATGGGTCTCTGGGAGGTGTTCTGGTAGCTACCATCATCCGATCCATTGTTGTAGATAATGCGAGGCTCACTGCTGAATCCGGCATTGTAGTTCCGCTCGTACTGCACCTCATCGGACTCCAAGAAGCTAGTGGCACTATCACCAAAGTAATCCACGTATTCCGGACGATTTCCAGCTCCTCGGTGACATCGGGAAACTGATGGAACTGCTGCTTGGCCTCCCCGAAGGTTCGCTCCTCCTTGAGGCAATCCTGTCGCACCAGTCGACTGGTGATCGACCACCTGGTCGCTGCACAGTTGTGGGAATCTCCGGCAGCAATCTTCTGTTCTCCGGATGTGCCCTTGGTATTCGAGTACTCCTCGTTGCTGTGGCTGCGCACCTTGATCATCTTGGCATGCGGATCCCGGGAGTGATGGATTTCACACTCTGGCTGCTCGAGTACTGCTCACCACCACTGGGACCTCCGGTGCTGGCCACACTGCCTCCACTGCCCAGATCAGTGCCTCCCACGGCGGGTACATGGGGCTGGGAGAGAAATTGTCGGGGATTCGGAACGCTGGGGAAGAGGAAATTCTGCTTGGCCCTGGGCGAGATGGGCATGAATTTCGCCGGCGGCGTGGAGTGCACTGTGAGGGTGTTTCCACTGTTAAAAGCCTCCGGATTGGGCAGCGTCTGTTGACGCATAAACTCCGGAGAACGTCGAAACTGCGGGGAAGTCTGTCGCTTTGGCGGCGATGTGGGCAGTAGCTTCACATGCTGCTCGGGATTTGGGAGCGTGGCCTGCCGCGTCATCCTGGGCTTGGGCATGGGTCCCACATCCTGCTCATCGCTAGCCATGCTGGAGGCCTGTGATTCGTAGTTCAGAGGTGGAGGTGCTGCCGCCGCCGATGAAGGTGCTCCCGTGCTGGGCAGCAGCTTGGTGCGATGATAGGTGCTCGGTGGCTCTGGGAACGAAGTCTGCCGCATGAAGGGCGGATAGCGCTGCTGCTCCCCCGGCGATCTTTCCGGGGAGCGACTGTACAGGCGGTTCGGGGAGGTGGACATGTAGATGGCCGGAGTGGGCTGAGCTGGCAGCGTGGATTGGCGGCGCACCTGCAGCCGGATGGTGCGTGGGCGTGACCTCCACTTGGGGTTGCTGCTGCTGCTGCTGTTGCTGCTGCTGCTGTGCGTAGTTGTCGCAGTCACCTACTGTAACACCCACACCCATTCCCATGCCCGGCATGGTGTTCATGTGGATGACGTCGTCGCTGTTGTAGGCGCTCGGATAGAGCGGACTCTTCTGCAGCTGATGCGGCGATGTGGGCGCCGTTAGGTTGACGGAGTTGTAGTTGGCCAGGTTGCCACCACTGCCGCTGAGCGCGGGGTCGTTGTTCAGGCTGCTGGGGAGCGTAGACTGACGCAGGACCCTGCGACCCAGCTGCCACTTGCTGCTGGTGGTGGGCGTGGCGGTGCCACTGCCACCGTAGCCGATGCCGTGCGTGGGCCGCGGCTGCGGGGGCAGGTGGTGCTGCGGGTGGTGCTGGTGCAGGGTGGGGTAGCTGCCCGCCGACTGGGCCTCAATCAGATGCTGCTGCTGCGGATACAGGTTGTCCGCCACCGGCTGCTGCGAGTTGGGGTTGTTCGGGTCGTCCTCGGGATCTGTCGGGGAAAAGGGTTATTTTAGTATTCCGTAGAAAGGAAGAATACAAATATAATCTAATTTTGGAATCCTATTTTTACTATTTCTTCTATTTCTATCTAACTTTTGCGGAAAGATATTTTTCTTTTCGTATCTATTTGCATTTAAAAAGGCTTTTATCCATGAATATTATTAGATATTAAAAATGGTTGCCTTTATGATTGTCAATCCTTGAGGTCCCTAATAAATTAAAGAATTTTTAACATTGATTAGAAATTGGAAATACTTTTCTTCGATGAGATGTACACAACTTACATTCAATTAAATGGATCTCATGGATCTTAGATTTGAGTGGATAGCTTCATATATATTGAGTACGATATTTTAATTTCAATATGCAGACATTTAGTTTTCAATTTATCTTTTTTCCAGTGTAGTTATATAGTTAAGGTTCCTGGAGTGTGCATTTTAAAAATGTATTTATCTCATTTTTCTTAGTTGTATTTAAGTCAATCAAACCTTTTTTAATACAAATTGATTTGTTAACTTATTATTTTTCACACTTTTTACATTTCCGTACATTGAAAACATTAAATTGTAATAAAAGTAAAATTCAGGAAGTTCTATTTCTATCTATACTCACTCGATATGGTCCAAGAACGTCGGATGCTCTTCCTCAGGACGTCGCTGGTGGTCAGATGGTCGACGGCACTGCAGGATCCCAGGGCATAGGCGTCCTTCAGCCACTCGCCGCTGGCCGACTGTATCTCCCTGCAAGAGCAACAACATTGCCACTTTAGAAACCAGAAGACCTCGCCAAACATTTCCCCAACGAAAGTTGGAGTCGTCAAACAATCAACAGGTAAATCGGCGACTCAGCGGAATCAACGTCTGTCTGTGTTAGCGACAATTGGCAGACTGACTGGCTGACTTAGTCAAAAATACAAAAATACACCGAATGCCGGATTTACTGTGGCACAGCAGCAACCTGAGACACCAACACTCTGCGACTTTGAGCCGAGGTGTGAGCCATCGGAAGAGTTGAAGCCACCGGCAGAGGCACACTGCCTTGGGTTCGCACAAACAGACACAAATATATTTTCGGGGAAAACTTTGCCAGCAAAACCACAACGGAAAAGTTTTTTGGCTCAACACGAGAGAAATAATTACATATTTAATGAATAAGTCAAACATCAACCGGAAGTTGGTCCTGCTTATCTTTGACTTGAACCCACATATGTGTTTTAAATAAAATTATAAGTTTCGATATAAATAATATACATTTCATTGGCTTTGCCATTCCCAGAAAGTTGCAAAAATTTAATAAGTCCAGAAGGAGAAACAAAACTTTAATCGGAAAATAAACTTAAAATTTAAAATTCCAAGGAAAGAAACTTCATCAAATGCAATAAATTCGTTAGAACGGTTTAATTGCTTTCATAAAGTTTGATATGCTTCATCTTAACCTAACCAAAGCTTTTGAGTGGGTTTTAATTGAAAAATATACCAATCTAGCAACTAGAATTAAAGAATGAACGACTAAAAAAATAATAAATTGAATGGTAATATATATGTGATTTGGATTTTCCAAAGAAATGCGTTAAAATGGTTAAAATGCCATGTCCATCGTTGGTATTTTAGGTCAATCCTTCTAAAATAAGAAGGAATACTCGTATATAGGTTCTCCTAGCCAAGAGCCTTTGTTCAGAAAAGCAATTTGTGACCATGTGCGGATTTAATACATGATACTAATTAATTATTAATTACGATACAATGATTGATACGGGTTGAATAAGAATGCAATGTCTGGCCAGAGATTCGTGGAATAATTGTATTTCTTCGGTCAGACACTGTGCCTTTTCTTCTGTGACTGACTTTTGTGAGGGCGCAGTCGAGCAATTGAATAAATTCCTGCTGAGAGGCAGACGCATATGCAGACGCCTTCCATCGAGAAATCGAGTCTATAGAGGGGCTGGGCCCAGAGCCATCGTAATCGTCATCGCAGTCATAATTATAATCAGCCAACTGCTGCAACAGACGCGTCCAAATTGGGAGTGCGTCATGCGTGTTGACAGGCGTGAAATCGCTGGCACCTGTAGGCGACCTGCTGTATTCTTGGCTCTGAAAATCTACATATACTCATAAGTATCTATTTGCCCTGCAGCTGCCGTTGAGTTGGCCAAGATTTAATTACTCAAATGTATGTGTCTGGCCTTGCGAACTCAATACGGGCTTTTCTCTGTTGGGAAGTTGTAGATATTTTTTGGGCCCCTGGCTCGCCCATTAACACTGAACCTTTCGGGTGTGTGGGTCGCCAGTCTCATCAGAGGCAATTGTTGTGTTGCCAAATGTTGGCTCAAACCGAGTGAGCTGATGCTGTGGTGACACAGGGCGTATGTGCAATGTGTGGGGTGGCTCATGTTTATGCTGGCACAAATGGCCAAATGCCAAAATGGGGCCAGAACACATAGTGCAGCTCATTAAACGGCCCGAACACTTGTTGACAGTTTGCCGTTGGTTGAATGAACACGTTTGGCCATCCATCCATCCCATTTTGCAATCCTTCGAGTGGCCTAATTGCCAAGTTATATTATACATACATCATGGAAATCCCCTTTTTGGGCACACCAACTTTTCCTTAATTACAAAATTATGTGTGCTGGTCACACAAAAAGAGCTTTAGGACGGGGATTCATAAACTGGGGGACACACATGCAAATTGAATTTTTAAACGAACTTGCTGTTTGCAAACACAAGGGTGCATTTAAGCCGCTTCGCATACGAACATGGCCAATCAAAAGTGCAGAACAAACACAACTAGCCGGAAAACAAACCGTTTCAAATATTCAAAACTGCAAGGGCAACCGAAAAATGAACGAAAAATCTGCCGCATCAGTTATGCGGAGTCTCAGTTTGCAGTCTGTGACACCTGATGACCACGGGCACAGGTGGGTTAAATGAAAAATAAACAAGGGAACCGTTTCTATCACCTTTCAATGCGCATAAACCTCTGGCTGGAATTATTTTGGGCATACGCAAGCAAGAGATTTTGTCTCTGCCCGTGTGCAATTCCATACTTTGTTTTCCATCTGGTAGTGCTTTTGGAGGCTTTGGGTGACAATTTTGGCGACACAAAGCAACCAAAAGGGCATGCAAAATTTGATTGCAATGTTCAAAATTGCAGCGTATGCGCTACAAAGTCGTACGCACAAAAAGAAACGGACAAACAATTGTCACGGCACAAAACTAAAATGCAGGTTTTGGGAAGGAGTGGGAAATACCCTAGGGTAGGACAAAAATATTGTGGTTTTAAGAACATGAAAAAAGTTACTTAAAAATTTTTAAAAATTATTTGAACTATTTTACTGATCAATTATAATGTCAAATAATAAATAAGACTAAGGTTTAAGGTAAATCTCATGGTTATTTATCCGAAATTTTACTACCGTATTACTATAAATTAATTATTTGTTCTAAGTTTCGAATTTTTATAATTGGTTGTCTTACTTTGTGCTTAGAGTTAAGCACCTTTTCAATTCTGTACGTTTTTAAAAATATGTGGTGCCACGAAATACTGTTTAAAATCTTTTTAAAATGTGTATAAAAGTATGCTATAAAGAGTCGGACATTGTCTTCTGACAACTTTGCTGAGGATTTTGAATTTTTGTAGCATACTTTTAGACATATATTAAAACATTTATTAGGTCCCTTATGATTATGTATACCTATATATATTTGATGTATCCTAACCATAATATTCCCTGGTAAAATCTTAGACATTATTATATAAGTAAGGAGTCAAAAAACAATTTTTTGATCAATGTGTTGCACTTTTTTATGAGGTCCTTTACAGGGTATTCTATCACCTCATGAACAATCATGCTGAACGACGAGCAGAAGGACACAAAGTAGTGTTTTGTTGTTAAGCTTAGTTTTCGTGTGCGTGGGTTGAATGGTTTGGTCGCATTCACAGAGTTTTGCGAGTTTTTAGATGGCAATGAAAGTTGGCCAGACATATAGGCAGAGAGATACACTTATAGAGAGATAGAGAGAGAGACAGACAGAGGAAGTGACAGAGACAGGAACAGAAACAGAGAACACACTTACATTTGCTTGTGGCACACCACGCACACCCAGTCCGTGGTGCGCGATGTGAATTCGCGACAGGCTTTGCACACTCGCAGCTTGCAGACGCGACAGGGGGCGCCCCGGTTGGTGATGCGCCCCAATTCGGTGTTGCAGCGGGCGCAGTGGCGACTCGGGTCGCTCGTGTGTGCGTTGTGGTTGTTGTGTTGTTCGAGCTGTTGTTGTTGTTGATTGGGCTGCATGGTTGTCTGTGGTTGTTGTTGTGTGGCATCGAGTGGCTGCACTCCACCAACGACCTTGGCCGCACCCTTACGCCTCAAAGCATACAATTCGGCGCGCAAGAGCCTGTTGTTGTTGTTGTTGAAATTGTTGGAGTCATTGTTGTTGTGTGGTGTTATGTTGTTGAAAATTTATTGAATATGTTGCAGTTGTGGTTGTAATTACAGTGATTGATGTGGTTTAAGTTCCGTGATTATTGAAATCGTTATGGTGTTGTTGTTGAAAATTATTTGGGGTTGTTGAAATTGTTGGAGTCAAATTTATTGAGGTTGTGGTTGCAAATACAGCGATTGAGGTGGTTTTCGGTTCGTGATTGTTAAAATTAATATGGGGTTGTTGTTGAAATTAATTAGGGTTTGTTATTGGAATTGAAATAGAGTTGTTGTGGGCGTTGAGGTATTTATCATAGTGGTTGTAAAAGGTTTTTTACAGGTTCAGTAGTTGCGTGATACATTGTGGTATTTGACATTGTTGTTGTAGGTGTTTAAATTGCAGTGGTTTTTGTAGTGGGTCGGTTTGGGAGGTTTTGGTTTTGGATTGGTAACATAATTACACGACAGACGCATAGACATTTTAGTTAGATTGTTGTTAAGGAACACGTTACAAAAGTTAACATGACATTAGCGACAGTTGAACAGAGATACAGGGAGAGAGAAAGAGAGATAGAGAAAGCGACAAGCGTGTTTGTTGGGTATTTCGGTGTGAGTGTGTGTGAGTGCGTGATGTATGTGTAATTGAATGGAAAGAGACAAAGAATAAAAAGAGCACACAAAAAGTTGTTATTAGTTGATTTAGTAGCAATTTAATCGATTTTCGAATTGAATTTTGGTTAATTTAGGTTAGATTGATTGGTTAAGGCAACATTTTTCACGTGCGCAACACATTTGTAAGTGAATAAAAGTGATAAGCCATGAGACAATAAATCAATTGAATTTTGTTGCAGCAGGATGAGCACCAAATTTAAGCTCGAAGCAAATTAAAAATATGAATGCAGATAATTTGTTGGTTGTTTGACATATGGATTTGGAGTTTTCCTTGGCATGGGGAGATAAGCGTTCGAAATTGTTAGATAAATGTATCCTTTTCCCCTTGTTGAAACTTTCAAACTGTTTCCAAAATTAATTATTCAAATTGGATCTGCAAAATGAGCAGGAATGGTTATTCTACAACTGTTCAATAAGAGTTCCAAGGTCACACATTTGATCCCATCGTCACTTATTTGATTAATTTCGAACTGGACAATGCTGCCTAATTAAATGTCCCTTTCGTGGAAACCAAATTATGCAAATGACGCACATGTTGGTGAAAGTTGGCAATCCAATTAAATCGGCAATCAAACGTAAGTCGATGCCCGGTTGGCAAATTAAGTGTGAGGTTTCTCCATAGGGGGGAAATCCATTCCCTCGGGATTTTCGGGTTTTCGGTGGCCCCACGGCTTTTCCTTAAGCCGTTTGGTTAATATTAACGTGCAGCTGGCAGGCGAGAGCTATAAAACATGGCCCAGAGCTGGTGACACATAAAACAAACACATGGGTGCGTACAGCAGCGGTAAAAAGAAGGACAATAAACACCCTATCACAAAAAGCATATATATCTTTAATGTTTTCTGTACAATAAAAGTTATATGTTAGTTAAATTAAATATAAAAAAGTGGTGAAGAACCGTAAAAAGCTTTTAAAAGCGATATTTATATATATATTTCCTGTATTTTTCATGTTATTCAACTTTTCGAACAGCAACGAATATTACAACCCTATTATTTTGACCTCACTTGTAGGCAAGTGTGATGATGTGATGGGCCGTTAAAGGAGTCACGCAGAGCACATAAAAATCCAAACAGGACTTTGGTTTCTGGGTAAATTATGCTGCCAACAGCCGTAGTAACAACAATTTTTAATTATAATTTTATCTGCATCCGAGCATCGTTGTAGGAGTGCTTGCGCGCTTTATTAGCGCCACAAAATCAGCCAACGACAAACGGCAGCCGCAGAGCCTAGTGAGGCGGCCATCAAAACGGCAGGAAGCGGAAACGAAACCCAAAACCTAGGGCAAGCCAAAACTGTTGCATACTCCCAGGAGTACAAACACAGCCAAAGGAGCACTAGAATGGCGAACTAACCGCGGACCACAGCCCCGCAGCCGGGGACATGTTTTATTGCCCTGGTTAACGCATTGAGTATGCTCCCACCGACAAACAGCAAAGGCACGCTGGTTTTTGGACGCCCAACCAATTCCTGTGCACTCGAAAAAAAAAAAATTGCAGTTTTACACAATATTTTTAACCTTTTAAATGCGTATAACTACCAAAAACTGATGTTAAACATGTGACAGAATGAAGTGAGAACTTAAATTAACTAGGGTTGGAAAAGTAAATAGAATACATTCTTTCTTTGTTTTTACTTACGGTAGAAATAATCAGTTTTCTTAGAATATGTTTCTATTCATATATTCTGATTAGGACCATAATAACATTTTCAACCATTTATTGATAATATTAAAGAATTGTTTTACGAGTTTTTATACCTATCTAACTTGATTGTACTCCCACAGAAGGGGCTTAAAACACCATATTCCGTCTAAATTCGATTGAATTTGTTGTCGTATGATTTTTTACATTTCTAAATTGGACAGTTAAGTCAAAAATATAGTAGATTCGCTTTAAAGGTAAAACGATTGGACTTTGTTTTCTAGTTCAATGAGAAAGTGGATTCCATGCTTCAAAAAATATTTTTTAAAGAATTGTGGTAAAATATACCCCTTTACCTTTATTCATTTCAAATTTTTTTTTAAACCCACAGAAAAAGAATTTTTTGCCGTGCAGCCGTGCTCATATTTAATGTGCCATCTGTTGGCATGTCAGGATCGCATATACATCGAGTGTGCGCGGTGGATGTGAGTCGAGATGTGGCAATGGCAGTGTTCACCGTCGCATGTTCAAGTGCCCAAGTGCTGGTGTAGTAATAGTTGTAGCTACACGACCAGCACGGCAGCGTTATGAATTAATAATCATAATAAGCCATTAGGGCGGGAGCCACAGCAGGAGCAGGAGCAGCAGGAGAAGGAGCCACAATGGGCTGCCAAAAAGTGCTAACTCTAATGGCCATAAATTCACAGTGACCATGAAAGCGGCGCAAAGACCCTGGATTAGCAGCCTTTGTTGTGTGGCGGAACAGTTTTTGGTTAGAATATGATTAAAAACCCTAACACGGCCTAAACAAATAGCGTTACGCATGTTTCCGAATGTCCCGAACCGAACGAAATTCTCGGCTCTGCGGGCTTATGCAAATAAGCAACTAATTAAACTGATGTAAATCAGCTGCGTCCTTATTCCATGATCCCAAGGGTGGAGTCCTCGTTTTGGGTCATTTTGCCCGGTTGGACGGGCGTGTGACCTTTTGGATGGGTGTGGGATCGAACACCTGCACCAACGGCAAAACGGCACAAACACCGCAAAAGCGATGGCTTATTAGATATCAAAGGAGAGATAACATTTTCAGAGTCCTGCTTTGATGTTGCCATGGGGCAACAGGCAACAGACAACAGGCAAATAATTCGCTACTCTCAGAGCTTACAGCTAATGCAATTGGTCTGTGTCTCGGTCTGACTTCAAATGTCAGGGATTTCATTTGGCAAACGAAGGTCTGATTTAATATTTCCACCCAACAAGGACGAAAATCGATGGCTTAAGAAGCTTAAGCTTAGTGGGTTTCATTAGTATCTTCCAGTTAATTTTTACGATAATATAAATTTCCAAGAACTATTCTTGAAATTGAATATTCAATTAAATTATACTTATGGGCTTTAAAAACGCTACTGTTTCTAGGTATAATTGTTATTGAAAGTTGATTTTTCCTGGAACATAACGATTCCCTGAATCGATGTGTAAAATATTCATGAATTAATTAAGGTCCTGTTTGTTTTGACTATTTTGTTTTGCAATAAGTAAAGAAAGATGAAACTAAAATAAATCAAGCGATTATTCTAACACATTGTTACCATTTCTAAGAAAACAACTATGTTTGTTCATTTAATTTTGCACTGACTAAAGACATCTCTTAAAGAGGATTAAAGATTTAACCAACATTGAAACTGGCTTTTACGACATTTTTAAGTAAATGTCTAATAAATTTTAGACATTTCCATCTAGTACTTTAAATTGTGGAGGACATTTTGAGGACACTAGAAGCTTTTAAATTTGTCACCACCCCTGAGTATTTAGTAAGCAAATTTAAGTTGGTCAGGTATTTCAAGCTACGCTGCTGGTGATAAATCCACTAGAGAAATGATTCAACGCCCTGTCGCCCTGCTCGGTTTTCCCCCAGGACTTTCCACTGAAATATGCCATAATTCAAACCATTCCCGACCACAGTCAACGGCTCTTTACCAATGGTCGTTGGCAGCACCGGCTTGTCCATTAGATTTACGATTTTAATGACGCCCAGCAGTGGCGCTGATGTGCCAGAGAATGCGAATATAAATAATTACCAGGCTAAATATGATTTGTCGGGGCGTCTGGAGTGGATTGCTGGACGTTGGACATTGGGTTTCGGAGGCTGGGCCAAGGACAATGGCCAGTAGTTAAGGCAATGGCCAGCCGGCCGTGGATCTCGCGTTTCCGTTTCAAATTAAAACTTTTTGACAGCGTTGCGAAGGGAAAAAAGTAAAGCGAATTAAAATAAAATAACAAAAACTAAACTTGAGACAGCCGGGGGCGTGGCTTTTTTAAATATATCGCAGGTGCTTCAGATTAAAGCGGATATGAACGGTCGAGCACCGGAAATGGCCGGCCATTTGTGCGCCTTTTAATTATGCAGTGCACGACAAAATGGCGTCACCCCACGGCCCGTTTGCATGTGTGTGTGGGGGTAAGTGCTTAAAAATGTTATTAGTTTTAATTAATTTTAAATGTAAGGACTAAAACGCGGTGGCCGTCCGGAACACGCAACCATCCAAAAAAAGAAGCTATTTATATATCCCTTCGTGTTTTACTTTTGCACTTATGCAGTTTGTAAGTTATCCAGTTTGTCGGTTGACTTTGTGTTCTTG